GCCTCTTTAACGACCGGACTCCTTTTGATTCCCTCGGGATCTTCTGTGGAGGTGGAATACTCTCGTCGAGCTAGGTGACGTCGCATTGCGCGCCCATATCACAGGGTAACAACGTAGACGGAGGTTTTCACTAAATAACTCTGTTTGTTGACTTGCGTTCCGCGATCAAGTCCTTTTATCGAAAATAATTCAATTAGTTGATATCATAGCCCGAAGTGGTATATACAAAATGATAAGATGAAATTGATCGTACAGTGAATGATCGTACAGTGAATTATTTGTATAGATTTCATTAAAACTCACCCTCGAATACCGAATATAACTCGAGTAATCCGTGCGTTTATTTCATCGTTCCGAATCGATTTCCCCAAATGCTTGCTATAAGGCGGTCAATGATCCACACACTTTCGTAATTCAGATACGTGTTTCGCCCGAATGAATTCCCCCGAGGCCATCTTCGAGGGAAGAAAAGGAATAGGCGGTAACTTATCAGGAGTCCAGACTTACCGAAGGTATCCCAAGGGAACTGATTGTGAGTGGAAGAGCGCAGGCTTCGCAGATTGCGAGAGTTACTGCTGAATAAAAACAGCATACTTGATAGTTCATAAAGGGAAGTGTAAAGATGAGAGCAGCATGAAACTGAGACACACACACAACCAGGGAATTATCAATAAGAAAATATCCGCGTACGATATCATAATATAGAAGCATATATACAAACGCCTTAGTTAGAATAACGCAATACAATGTAGAAGATACATATATACTGAATTAGGCTATAGCTATATTAAGGGATAAATTAAGATAGCAACAAAATGTATCAAACGTGCACGAACAAATGTTAGAAAAGATTGTAATTGTAATAGGCGTAAGCCTCGATATAGTAAACTCCTCAATACATAAGAGAGAGAGAGAGAGTGAGAGGGGGGGGGAGAGGGGAGAGGGGGAAAGAGAGAGAGAGAGAGAAGGAAGAAACCTACATGAAAATGCATTTTCTATTTTACATAACGTATACATGCCTTGCATATTCATGTTTAAGAACATCCGCACAAGTATATGACGCATATGTGATGTAGAAATATATACTTATGTGGCATATTCATCTCACCAAATTGATTCAGTTTGTGATAACTTGATTACGGATATTTATGCATTCGTGTGAAATTTAAGAATGCAAAAGAAAATTTAAAGAACGCAAATAATGCGGAAAAATATGAAAAATAGCTAACTTTGATCCGACTTTTTTCCATTTAGAATTTATTATAATTTCTTGTATGAATCGATCGTGCTAAGCTACGGACAACGACAAATCAAATATGAAGGTGATATGTTAATTCGTAGAATTGGAATATGCGTAGGTATGTAGTAGTGCCCCAGCACTATTATTTTATAGACATATAATATATAAGACATATAATATATATCCCGGGATCATATATCAAATAGATCATTGAGGAATAGAAACGAGAACTAAAACACTGCTTGTCGGGCAATAACGTAACTCGATCCCTAGATGTCGGTGCGACACAATTCGAAAATTTATCTAGTACGCGTGTATCTTCAAATGTTCAAACATGTACGAATTTCGTTGAATTGAATTGTACACGATAATTAATGGGACACTCTGTATATTTAATAGAATGCAGTCAATATTTTGAACGGCACAACAATCTAAATCTTTCTTTTTAATATAAATATCAGGTATCTATGTTTAGCATCTTGAATATATAGAAAATAAAGAAAATCGAATTTTCATTTTTCATTTTATAAGTAATTGCGAATAAGTTCTTTTTCGTTTTCCTCTCATCCTTGAAATGATTTTTTTATAAAGTTCTTGACTTGATGAATGTTTGTTTCAAGAAAAGGCTTCCCTCCCCCTATAGAAAACAATTAGAGTTTCTATAAGTCTTTATGAAACAGCATATTATTAGAGGAAATTGTGACCGGATGTTTTGTTATAAATGAACACGGTTTTCCCAAACGATGGTCTAGAATCAATGCGTAGTCTGACGTCAATGTGACCGCAGATATTGAAACTTCCGAGCAGAAGTACTGGTCACCTTTGTACTCGGTAGATCAGCGAAACTCTCTTCATGCGATCAACTTGAACTATTTACGCATTATTCTGCGCAATATTGTCTACAATACAGAGTATCTCTCTCTCTCTCTCACTCTCTCTCTTTCTCTCAGGGACTGTGGAGTATTTTTCGAAGATGTCCCTCGCATTAAGAGAAAGGAAGATAATTCTACACAGAATTTCCACCTCGAAAACAATTTATATGGTTACTGTTTATTATCGGAATTACCCTTTTTTGATTAGAAAGTCGAAGAATTTGTCTCGTTAATTAATCGTTAGTAATTGAGGAAAATTCGTATAAACGCATTACGCTTGAGGCACGTATAATCGCACAAGTGTCTGAAGATATACTAAGAACGAATAACGAAAGTACAATATGATGTTAGAGACCAAGCAAAAATAAAGATCGAAAGTGAAAAATGTAAAGACTGAATTACTGCTGAAAATGTGGTCAACATCGTATAAGAGAGAGGACTTATTAAATTAAATGTAATATAACGTATTCAATTCTTTTTTCTCTCGTAACTTTTGAACCGCGACTTTCGTCCCAGGCCTCGCGTAAAGTGCGTTATACTCACTACCTTTTCTCCATAACATATCCAAAAATCAGCAGAATCAGTATTGCAGTCCTTTTTCTATAGTTTTATATATACCAAAAGTGCGTTGACCTTGAAAATACTCAATGATTAGGCTGATATCTCAAAAGATATCGAATATAGACAAGACATCGAATTTCACCAATCCGATGGGTCTTTTGAAATGCAACATGATTCATTTTTTTAATACATCCATCAAGTAACGAGTTATTTCGTTGGGTTGGCAACTAAGTGATTGCGGATTTTGTCATTAAGTGGTATTGACAAACTACGCGATCACTTAGTTGCCAACCCATTAGTTAATAGTTCTTATTGACTCAGCCTGTACACTTACGAGCGATATTTACAGTTATTTGCAGGTATTTGCAGGTATTTGCATTTGGTATATTATTTTAGTTGCCTTAGCGCATATTTAACCGAATAATTTTAATACGAAATATTTCCAACGTATTAATTATGGAAACTTAGATTTTGTCCGATGAATTTTACAGATTTTGCCGGCTTTAAAATTTTAAACCAATAGCGTACAACGAAGTATGTAATGTGTTACTTGTGAGAACGTCGCGTCGTCTTGCTGACAGGGTGGTTAGCAAGAGAAAAGGAAAGTCATCGTCAACTACTTACCGGGCAATATTTTTTGCAAAGAATCCAAATCTTTCTGCGACCGTTGCAATCCGAAGTATACCGACGATCGATATACGTTAACCGTATCGCCGTATCTTAAATAAGACATACACATATGTACTTTATGTATTATGCAATATCCGATATTGGATAAACGATAGTTAGGTATGCGGAATTCAGTGTTAAAACGATCGCCACTAAGAAAGCATTCGTCGCCTTGCTGTGCCGTAGCATCGGTATCCTCTCATAATTTTGGTGTTTAATCCATGTATGTACTTTCTAAATTTCCGTATTTTCGCTAATTGATTTTTCACTCATCTCCGATCTTCTACTACCTAAGAAATAATCCTCACATGTACGTTACGAGTTTACTGATATCCCGTGGTTTTATCATCCATTTGTGAACGTGTCACTACTATTCCAAATAACTTTTTATTCCACCATCAGGTTGTATAAGCAAAAGAAGGTGATTATTCGGCTAAGCGGTTATTAATCTACCCCAAGCTACAACCCATTCGTTCCTCTTTTCTATTTGTTCGATATTAAAACTGCTTCTCTCTTTCGTCATTGAGTTTCAAGTATAGGTTAGTCCATATAAACGACATGTGGCCACCTGCTCCAGGTTTATGTGTAATCATAACCGAAATTTAATTAAGCTATTTTACGAGTATCTCGGAAACTATGGCTGACCGACGGTAACATGTACCGGAAGAAGTTGTTCAAAATGTTGGCTTTGACAACATGTTTCGAGATTATCGAAATCGTCGAGGTGTACCACTTTCTGAATAATTACCAAAAAAATATTTATTGTGCTACTACTTGTCAAAGAAAAGTAGATTCAACCTCTTCGGTACGATGCGCCACTATAGTGGCTTTCGCGGATGTTATATTATATTACGATGCGCTACTACAGTGGCACGCTCTACTGATTCATTCGCTCACCGTTTGAACTGAATCACTTTTTTCATTTGACTAGCTTCACGCTTCTTTTGCCTTCACGTTTTATAACAGTGTTAACAATATACAGACAGAATATATAGTCTTTGTTTTCGATACGCCAATGTCGGATATCAATTGTTGCTTTTCGTTAAAATAAAAAGCCCCTAGGCGTCCGAAAGGACAAATGAGGTGTCGATAAATAAATAAAATAAATAGAATAAATAAATAATTTAAAAGATATATCGTTCGAGATAAATTGGCGTGAAAAAAGTAATACGATCGATCGAAGATTTAATTATTATTATATTCAAGAATAGTGAATGCTTAAACAGTTGAATGCAGATGTTTATGAATTATGCAGATGATATTCAATTGTTCGTTATGACGCAAGGCTTTATTCAAGTGAAGGAATTACGTTTCCTTCTAGAACCATTGTGAGCAGAAATTAAATTAGTTTTACTTTTTAAACAAATATAGGTGGATAATAGTTTTGTCAAGTACAAATTTAAAGGAGAAATAATTTCGGAGAAGAAATAAGCTAAATAGAACCGTGATACCCGTGTATACGCGTGAAAATCGTCAAGGAGGTGTAGATTGATTTTCTTACAATCATTGTAAAATTTGTAGGGCACGTTATCTAGTATATTATCCATACACGATTCGATTTTTAAAAGCCTCAGCTTTGTCGAAATGAAGGTATTTAGCTTCAAAGTTGGAAATTTTAACACCACGCAATCCCTGTATCAAACTGCTGCATGGGCGATATTTCGATTAACTGCAGGAGAACGATTCTTACAAAATTTAATATTACAGATTGATAAAGGAAATTGGAGACGTATAAAATGGATGTCAGACATATTATTTTCGGAGGGATGAAATCAGAACCGATCGCGTCGGTGTTGTCAATGCTGATAAGCATATTACTATATATCATGTATTCGATTGGTCCTTACTCTACGACGAATATTCCTACCAAATCGTTAATGTCGTCTTATGATTTCATAGTCGTGGGCGGTGGTTCTGCAGGTATGTTCTTTCGTGATATCGATACAATGTTCCGTCATAAAATCTGATAAAAATGTGACAAAGACAAGCGCACCTGTGTGTTTGCGTACGCGGAATAGCGCGTTGTTACTCATACGACCAACTGACACAAAAATCTAACAAATCGCGCACCTCGATCTTTTACCAATGCAGACTACGTTTAACGACACCATCCGTATTAATGTTATATTAAAGTTATACGTTGTTCTATGTGTTAACGACGAAATTTTAACTTACTTCCTTCGCATGGTGAAACTACGGAAAAGCTATCTACTGCCCGATTTCGATGGGTTTTGGATATGTTGTAAAACTCGCCATTTCGAACAATTTTTTGGGAGGGCAACTAGCTTTTCTGCACTTTCCTATTTCATGCATATTCGATGTTTATTTTCTAAACATTTTTTTAAGTTAATCGCGTTAATTCCGTTTCGAAATTTCGACAAATTTTCTCTCTTTCTCGATGTTTCAAAGTTGAACTGTAAATATTTGATTTAAATGGCATTTGTAACGTTTAGTTTATGTTTTGATGTTTGAGGATATTAAATCTTCTTACGTACGTTCTATAGTGTCATATCGATTTACGTGATTACAGGAGCCGTGATCGCGAGTCGCTTATCTGAGGTAGAAGATTGGAACGTACTCCTCTTGGAAGCAGGTGGCGATGGAAATGCTCTATATGATGTTCCTATTCTTGCCGCCAATCTGCAGCTCGCCGAAATCGATTGGAAATACAAAGTGGAGACCAATGAAAATTTCTGTCTGGGTAAATAATATCTAATGGGCAATACCTCGTTATGATAATGACAAGTATTTAATTAGAAAAACAATGTTGCATCCCCATTCATAATCATCCATATCTAACGCACTATTTTTTACGTTGGGAAAAGTAAATTAAAGGTGGAGGAGCATACAAGAAAGCATGTCACGCTTGCAAAGGATCGTAAAATGCAATCTATGGCAACGCGAATAAATAAAGTAAGTGAATAAGTGGAACTTTCTAGAACATTGGCACATCATCACCTTTCAATCTTAACGAATATTAACACTGGGACTAACAAACGCGTCAAGATAACGGATCTGAGTTTTTCTTTTTCACAACTACTAAAAACATGCAGGTATTTTTGACAAAATTAATACTGGTTTTTATCTAAATAGATAGATATATGAATATATGGATCTATTTATCTTCATTGATATCGTTCGAATTATATCGATTTACGAGTATATACGTGTATAGAACGTTTAGGTACAATTAAGTAGGTCTAATGTTGATCGAATGGTCAAAGTCGGGAAATGAATCTATGAAGTCGAACCGAAAAGAATATAAACACGACTCAATAACCAACCAACATCAGTATTGAGTTACGAATACTTCGTTTCACTTTACCGTGCCTTAAATTATGCCCACAGCGATGAAGGAGGGTCGTTGCTTCTGGCCACGTGGCAAAGTGATCGGAGGCAGCAGCGCGATAAACTACATGCTCTATGTCCGTGGTAATAGAAAAGATTACGACATTTGGGAACAATTGGGCAATCCGGGATGGTCCTACGAGAATGTCCTCGGTTATTTCAAGAAATCGGAAGACAATCAAAATCACTTCTACACTGAGACACCGTATCATTCGACCGGGGGTTATTTAACTGTCCAAGAATCACCATGGCACACTCCCCTGGCCGATGCGTTCATTCGAGCTGGCCAAGAAATGGGTTATGAGAATAGAGACATTAACGGAGAACGACACACTGGCTTTATGATTCCTCAGGGGACCATTAGACATGGAAGCCGGTGCTCCACGGCGAAGGCCTTCCTGCGGCCGGCAAGGAATCGCAAGAATTTACACGTCGCTATGGAAGCGCATGTTACCAAAATTTTAATAGAGCCGTCGTCGAAGAGGGTTTACGGCGTAGAGTTTGTTAGAGACGGGGAAACGTTACGGATTCGTGCCGACAAGGAAGTGATCGTTTCCGGAGGAGCTATCAATAGCCCTCAGTTGCTGATGTTGTCGGGAATAGGACCTAAAGAACACCTATCAGAACACGGCATACCAGTGATTCAGGATTTAAAAGTGGGTCATAATCTTCAAGATCATATAGTTGCGGGGGGCATTACGTTCTTGGTGAATGAAGAAATTTCACTGATAGAGAGCAGGATGTATGATATTCGCAATGTCCTAGAATACGTATTATACGGAGACGGTCCTTTGACCGGTTTAGGCGGTATCGAAGGACTAGCTTTCGTTAATACCAAATATGCGAATACTTCCGACGATTTTCCAGACATACAGCTGCATTTTTCGGCAGGGGGGACAAACTCCGACAACGGTAGGCATATTAGAAAGGTTCATGGACTGACCAAAGAATTCTATGACGCCGTATACGGGGAGCTTAACGATAAGGACGTGTGGGGCGTACTTCCTACGCTTTTAAGACCGAAAAGCAAAGGAGTTATCAAACTTCGGAGCAACGATCCTTTCGATCATCCATTGATTTATGCGAATCATTTTGAAGAACCGGAAGATATGGCGACACTGATCGAAGGAGTTAAGTTTGTGTTCGAGATGAGTAAAACTGCTTCGTTTAGACGTTACGGGAGCGAAACGAATCCAAAACCATTTCCTGGTTGCAAGCATATTCCGATGTATAGCGATCCATACTGGGAGTGCATGATCAGATTCTATTCGATGACTCTATATCATCCCGTGGGTACTTGCAAGATGGGGCCCAGTTCGGATCCAAAAGCTGTGGTAGATCCTCGGCTTCGAGTTTACGGAGTTACTGGACTTCGAGTCATAGACGGCTCAATTATGCCAAATATAGTTAGCGGTAATACCAATGCGCCGATTATCATGATCGCAGAGAAGGGTTCCGATATGGTGAAAGCGGAATGGTTGGGGGAACGGACGTCAAAATGAATGGCTGTTTTTGTAAATTAATTCAAAGCGAATGCTAGTACTATATATAGATAATAGAAACTTATAATTTCAAACTCAAAATAAATTTTCATTGCGTTTTACGTACAGTGGAGTACGAGCCAGAATATGTAGTCATGTTTTATTAAATGAACATCAAGTAATGTAAATGTTAACAAGGGAGCTAGTTTACAAGACGCATTTTTTCGACCGATTCGGTATTGCGACCTCCAGTAAGAGGATACATAGGATCGTAATGTAACTATTGTCTTAAGGCTTGGCACGGTATGCGCACGGCTTTTACAAATAAAATCAATCAGGATAATGCACGTGACGTAACACATAGAACAGAGATACCGCCGATAAACAGGGAAGATTGAACGAAATGGTTTCGATTTACTTTTTCGCGACTTCTCTCGGTGCTCTTTGAACTGGAATTGATCAACTGGAATAGAGTCGAGCCGTAACGGTAAGAGACGCACAGATAAACGCGGATATTCGAACAAACAAAGACATATGAATTTCCATAGCTTCCGAGATATCTGCAAAACGTTATCGATACCACAACAATGAATTCTGCCCATCATTGTGCGTCCGCAACAGCGTACGCGTTAGTATTGGTTACCGACTGCCTTACAGCGGACAGATATAATAGCAATGATCTAACCGAAACCTAGTTCTTATCTTTCGTTTATATAACATGTACAAACGAGAATTCACCGAGCTTGAGTAAAGGTTCGTGCACAACTACATATGCGAAGCTGTAAGAAATATCTATTCTATCGCGATTAACAATGAATATCATCAATGTATTGGGGTTAGATTTCGAGTTAACGTTATCAATCCGCTTGCGTGAAGCAGTAACGGTTCTTCTTTTTCGTCGAATAATATCGATTATTCTTCCGCCTATTATTAATATATAATTAATAATAGGCCTATAATTAATTTGTTCCTATGTTACGCAAGCATTGCCAGCCGCTTCGCGATGACGGGGTTGAGAAAGCTAAGCCAAGGCCAAACGCAATATTTTCTTACAGCTTTGCATATGCAGTTGTGCACGGGGCATTTAAGCTCGTTCAATTCTCGTTTATACATACTACAAACAAAAGGTAAGAGATAGATTTGAGTTGGTTTTGAGCGATCAATACTGACCCATTTTCAAAGAATAAAGGCAACTTCTTGCTTTAAATACGTATTCAATTATGTAATAATAATTATATAATTATTTAAGAAGCTTAAATTTTCGTGAGTAAAAAATAAAGGAAATGTAAGAAAATGTGAAGTTCGAACGTCTGGAACATCTCTGTCTTCTGGGCTTCTTCAGCCTCGACTGTGGGAAGGGAAGAGAAAGCGTCAACAGTTGAGGCTGCCATAAATTAGGTCCCTACGTTTTGCGACTGCGTTGCCTAGTATATTCGAGTATACTTTGCACAATCAAGGATGATGTGGGCGACTGTCGAAACGAAACTACGCGAGCTCGGCATTTCCAAGTCTACAGAATGTGCTGTAAACGTCTAACGTGACTAACCTCAACTCGCTTGTAATATTTTTTTTGTAGAAACGTTTATTTATCGAATAATTTGGGTTACCGTAAAGATTGATCTGCTACTGTGCGTACACAGTTTCGTTTACTATTATACGATATTCTCTTTTATACTCTATTTGTAATTTTATGTTACTATTTAGTTTCAATTCCAATCATTATAAGCGGTGTAATCTTATTCCATGCTGTATCAATCGGTAACGCTGAGAGTAATACAAAAGTACATCGTTAGATGTCATTAAGAAAACTTCCAACATTCTCACGTGTTGACATAAAATTGTAAAATATAACCTATATGTATAATAGTTAGTAGATTTTTATGAAATGTATTCCTTTTTTGTTCTATGAGTTGTTTTATTATTTATTTTATCATATTTTATCATATGGGACAATGAATAACATTCGAACAAACTAATCTAGATGTCAAATTATTAACGTGCCAGAATAACCTATAAATGCCTTGAATGACTCGATTTCTGTAAAAAAATGCTAGCTCCGTGTCAAGATATCATTGAAGATATAGAAGATTTAATATCATCGCAAGATATTACACCAAAGGAACGATATAGTGCAAGGAAAAATGTTACTGTTCGTTCTAAACGTAAACAAGTAACTGAAGATGTACCAGAACCTCCTATTTTCGATAGTATTGTGCCAGGGACACAGACAATTTATACAAAGACATGGGGTTGTACTCATAATAATTCTGACAGTGAATATATGGCAGGTCAACTTGCTGCTTATGGTTACAAATTAACGGAAAATAAATATGAAGCAGATCTGTGGCTCTTAAACTCTTGTACAGTAAAAAGTCCAGCAGAGGATCATTTCAGGAATGAAATCGAAGCTGGAAGAAAGATGGGAAAACATGTTGTAGTTGCCGGGTATGGAAACTTCTTTGTACCTAATGAACGTAGTTCTTTTTACCATATTGGAAAATTTATTTATTTTCACTACTTATTACAAGGGTAATTATCAGTAGGTAAATGGGAAAGAATTAGAGTTATAATGAAATATAGCGAATTTGAAATATGTTATTTATACTTAATACTGCTTAATCTACTTTTATGAACTTTTGCAAATCGCTATGAAAATATAAAAAACAAAGATTATTTTATATCAGTATCGGTAAGATTAAAAATATTTTATCCATAGTTGCCTTTCACATGCAAGAAACTTAAAAGACTTCTTTACTTCTTTACTTCTTTACTTCTTTACTTCTTTACTTGTATACATGTAATATTTTTCAATTGGTTGAAATATGTTAAAATTAATGTAACATTTGGAAGTAAATCTATATAGCTCAGGTAATAAAATTTCAGGTAAATTGAAGGGATCGTCAGCTTGTTCTCCTCTTCAAATTCACTGTCCTCTGTAATCAAAAATACAAAAAATTCATATGGTATTTCATACGCTAAATCTAACAATTCAAATATTGCCTAGTTCCATATTCGTTGATTATTTGCAATTAATTAAGATTAATATTTTAATTTTATATGATTTATTTTTACATATATATAAGATTATATGTTAGGTTAATAAAAGTTAATAAAATATGGCATATGTTTTAACGAGGTAACATGAGAGCTGGGCAAATATAAAACTTTAAAGATAATTCAGTTAATCTAGATTAAAATTTATTTTGACTACAAAATTTACTGGCCGAATATTATACTTTGTTTCGTTCAAATATACACAGAAACTAAGCAGAAGGTAGCATACGATCTCAAATCAAATAATCAAAAACAATCCTAATAAAACTTTATTCACTGTTGATTTTTTCAGACTATGTTATTAATTATCGATGAATATTATTTAAAAATATATGTATATTTTTTATTTATGTATTGTTCTTCGGGACTTTTGTTTAGAAAGTAAATTTATATTGAGTTTGAAGGCTCAAAAGAGGAAATAGTGAAAAAAGATTGGTTTCAGATGCGTACCACAAGGTGCACCGAAGTCATCTTTCTTACAAGGATTAAGCATGATCGGCGTGCAACAAATCGATCGTGTGGTAGAAGTAGTGGAAGAAACTCTGAAAGGAAATACCGTTCGGTTCCTGCAACAGAAAAAGGAAGCTGGTAAAAAGATCGGCGGCGCCTCTTTAAGATTGCCTAAGATTCGTAGGAATCCACTGATCGAAATCATAGCTATAAATACTGGGTGTTTAAATCAATGCACTTACTGCAAGACAAAACATGCGAGAGGTGAACTGGGAAGTTATCCTCCCGATGAAATTGTTGAGCGTGCGATACAGGCGTTCGACGAAGGCGTCTGCGAGTTATGGTTAACCTCTGAAGACACAGGAACTTATGGTAGAGATATTGGCACGAGTTTGCCCGAATTACTGTGGGCACTCGTGAAAGTGGTGCCCGATGGATGTAGGGTTCGCGTTGGAATGACTAATCCACCATATATCCTGGAGTATCTGGAGGAGATGAGCAAAATTCTGAGCCATCCAAAAGTCTACAGTTTTCTTCACATTCCGGTGCAATCTGGAAGCGATCAGGTGTTAGCCGATATGAAGCGAGAGTATACCCGTGGCGATTTCGAGCGAGTTGTCAACTTTCTACGAGAACGTGTTCCTGAGTTAACTATAGCGACGGATATCATTTGCGGTTTCCCAACAGAAACAGAACAGGATTTTGAAGAGACGATGAAACTTTGCGAAAAGTATAAGTTCCCGAGTTTGTTTGTCAATCAGTTTTTTCCCAGACCGGGAACGCCGGCTGCTCGAATGACGAGAATACCTACGCAAATTGTGAAAAACAGAACCAAAAGGTTATCAGAATTTTTTCAATCTTATTTTCCGTATTTTGATAGAATAGGACTCGTCCAAGAAGTGCTAGTGACAGAAATATCCCATGATAGAAAGCACTACGTCGGACATAATAAATCTTATGAACAGGTTCTCCTACCGTTAAAGGAAGAATATTTAGGAAAAATAGTTAGAGTAAAGATCGTAGAAACGACAAAATATTCTATGAAAGGGGAACCAATAATAGAAGGTACGTCCCCGGCGTTAAAACCATGTTTACCAAAAGGAGCTATATCAGGAATACCAATGGAGATGAAATCATCGAAATATAGAATAGGAGTTGCCCTGGCGATTCTTCTAGCAATCATTCTCAGGCTATTATGGAAGTTTTTTATGATTTAGCAAGTCTCTTGTTCTCTAAATTTTTTAATCCGGAATCTATAAGAAAGATTGTTACTATTGATTCAGGCGTTAATATCAGGGACGGACTGGAACTTGAATTTCTACCGGAAGATGACCGACTGATTGACTTGAACCATTTTTAGTTCATTAGTTAAATTCTACGTAGGGCTGCGTCAAATGCCACAAATCTCTACCGATCCACCGGTAATTTTCTGAAACTACGCGATGCGACGTGAATCAGTCCGCATCTAAAATTGATGGTTGTATCGACAAATCTGTTTAAGTTTTAGAAAATACACTAACAAATCTTTACATTAACAAACTTTTTAAAATGAACAATTAAAATTTGTAATCTATAAGAAGACTCCATAAGAAGCTAATGCATAAATACTGTTTCTAGTCATTAGTTTCCCATTAATTTGTACGGCATAGTAACATTCATGTATTACTACGTTACTATTTGCAAATTAATCAAGAGCTGTCCGGTGTACATTTTATTGTAGATTTTATTGTAGATTTTCTACATTTTCCTATGTACATGATGATTCAACACAGTTCGAATCCAATAAATCAAGGTAACGAAGCCCCGAGTCATTTTTTTAACCTTCTCGTGAATACGTACACATGTATATCCAGCATCCACAAAATAATGCATCGATTCAAAAAGATAGAGATATTTTCAACAACAATTTATCTACATAAAGTACATATGCACATATGCATGCATATATGTGTATATTCTCGTAATTTATTCTTTTTATTAGTTATAAAATTCATATATAAGATTCATATATATTTGCAATTTACAATATAGAAATATATTCATTATAGATGAATGTACATATTTTTGTCACGAATAATACAAGCATTTGATATATCCTATTTCATACGATCACTGATAAAATAAATAAATAATATTATTAAATGATGAATTAATAACAGTATAATAATAATAATAATAATAACGTGAATAAAAATAAAGGAATAGGAATATCGTGATATTATCAAATGCAACGTTGATCTTTATCCTTGCAGCAAAATATAATTATACTATAAATTTTATACAATCTGTGTGTATTTAATAAATTGATTTTTCTAATAAACTATCAGTTATCAATTCTTATTTTCGCAGTAAAATAGATTTACGTTATAAAGTTCGATAGAATTTATTTTTAGTATAGCGATATTTTATATAAATACTGCACTTAATTAAACTTATTTCGTATAAATTTTACAATAAAATTTGTCTAATTTTCATCTTTGCATTGTGAAATAGCAACAGTAAGTTGTGACTCGAATGCACAGCAGAGGTGTACCGAAATTCAATTGCATTGTAGCGAAAGGGTTAAATTCTCGCTCGACAGGTAACGTGTATTTATCAAGAAATCGTGTTTACGAGAACACTTGCGATACTTTGCAGTCGATGTTATATTTAAGATAAAAACAGTCGAGTCTGAATTTCCAACGAATTAAGAATGACTTTGCTGTTGAATTCTACTTTTCGTAAAGGGTGTGTTGGAGAAAAATAAAGAAAAAGTATTAGTAGTATTTGTAGTATTTGAAGCGTTTCCTGAAATAAAATGCTTAACAGTTAAAAAAGTAAGAACTCTGGTTTATAATTAATTGACTATATTTGAATTGACAAAATACAGGAACCGGCCCTGAGTGGGCTTACAAAATATTATTAGGACAACCCGAGTATACGAATTAATGTTCTAGTCGAACAATGATATCGAATATAATTTAACTTATTCTCGATGCATTCAGAACTATAATAGTAGAAAAGGAAAGAAGAAGGTATTGAGCGTCCCCAAGTTAATTTATCCTCGAGAAATCATAAGTATAGAGAAGAAGAAGAAGAAGAAGAGCATACGAAGAGTTACACTTAGTAAAACAGTATGTTCGCTAAGGAAACATAAACCTCTTAATTTATTGCATTAACAATGCTCTTTTATTTGGTACCGTCCCTCCCGATGCTAACGTTTCGCTTTTTAAAGTACTATATTATTATTACTCGAAAAATATTAACTTATTGTTACTAAACGTAAGTATAAGCTTATTCTAAAACGAGTTATTATCAAGGTATTTCCTGAGTATTAAAATTCACAGGCAAAACTGTGTAATCCGCTAGAAACGATAAAAGAGATATTTGTAAAAATCCTTTTTGTTAAATTCAAAATTGGGATTTCCAAACAGCATCACAACAATCAGATTACTCTCGTCTTTTGCATAAGATATGAATTTCCGCTGCTTTATGCACAGCTTTATGTACAGCGACAGACTTAATTTTAAAAACAAGGCTTTTATGACATATTCCTATTGAAATCTCTAGAGCATAATCATTTTGCATGCTCCTGCGTATCGATTAATCATATTAATGTCTTGTAACATTTTAATATATATTGTCATATACATAAATGTGAACAAAAAGAACGTTAGCATAACTCTCTTTTAACAAATACAATTTATTGTTGCACTTTCTAGCCTATTTCATTAGATTATTCTCTTTAAATTGACATATTAATGAAATATTATGAAAAATAATCTCTTTTATCTCTCGTACTATGTATATGTAAAATGTAATGAACGATTTTTTAACATTAAAAGCTGGCACATTAAATATAGTGGATCCTGGTAACGTCTAAACATACAACAGGACTGACCCAAAGACATACTCTTCCGTTTATACGAAACAAAATATTTCATCAAATATTTGCGCGCGTATACAGTAACGAAAATCGGTAAATAAGAGAGCAGATGTTTGACCTTTTGAAGGATAATTAAATCGAAAATCTTTTCTTATCAGTTTCGTATTTGCATGTGAGAATCATTTCGATGAACAGTAATTCATTTATCGATATTTCCTATAAACTCGAGTTTTCAGGATTTTAATGTACTTGGCACATTTTTATTTTACTCAATACGAGATTTCGCATACTTTTTATTCACATCAATCCTCCAAAAAGTAATATGTATAGCGTAGTACGAATTAAATTAAGATTAACGACTGTGTGATTTGATCATTGTTTATCACTGATACGAAATAACACAAAAGTTAATGCGAAAAGAATAATATAAAATTTATATACTATTTTTTTCTTTATTCGCAATATAGATTGGATAAATAGCTTAATCGCTAATC